ATGGCTCTTTTCAAGAATACTATATTATGATGTGAGTGGTTATTGTTATGGAGGCAAGTAAATATTTTCTAAGTTTAATATTCTTTGGTGTGTTTTTTTAGTGCTCTATATTTTTCTTTAACATTCTTTTAAAATGCCATTTCTATATTTGGCTACTATTGAAAGTTCCACTGGAGAATTATATGACATTATATACATAAATACAGAGGGGGGAGGGTGGGGGAGGGCAGAGTTATCAGTAGATCAGAGCAGTCGCACTAACTTTGAGACCTGAGTCTTGTTACTAGACAAGCTAGTCTAGTCTTGTTACTAGACTAGAAAAAGCTGTTTCTTAGTGGAATTTGGGCATAAACCCAGCTATTTCTACACCATATAATGCAAATCTAAGGCTGATAAAGGCCTATGAGGCAAGATATTGGGGACCTTCTCCAGAGCTCCCAAAGAAGGGACAATATGGCACTACAGCACAAAGCATTCTCCTTCTCCTTTGAAGATATCTCATTGACCTGGTAAAGGAGGCTCTATGCCAGTGGGGCTGTACTTGGAATTAAAAGCAGCCCTGGAAAAAAGTTTATACCTGCCAAATACTGTGTTACACCAGCATAGCGTGCAGATATAGAGTTGGAAAAGATAAATTAAAATTGAAAACTAAACTTTTACACCAACATGAAAGAAAGCACTCATAGGGCTTCAAAATAAACAAAAGAGCAGATTTATTTTAAGTATATGCAAATTAAGTCATTTGCATATAATTAAACAGGTTCAGTCCAACTACCTTGACATATTAAGAAAGGTTTGGTAATGGGACTGAAATAGTAATGTATGCTGTTGCACAGCTGTAAACAATGACGTTATTTTGAAAAGAGTGTGCTCTTCACTTTGGCTGAGATAATTAAACTTGATTATCTTAGCCAATCCAACCCTTTAACATAGGAAATCATTTGGAGGCTATTGTGCATGCATGGCAAAAATGATGCGCCAATCAGCATCTCCTCATAGAGATGCATTGAATCAATGCATCTCTATGGGGAGCATACAGCATCTCCATGCAGAACATGAAGATGCTTAATGTAGGTGCTGTAAACTGCACAGCAATGGTCTAGGAAGTATCTCTAGCAGCCATCCAAGTGACTGCCACTTGGTGTTATTAGGGAGCAATGTAAACAATGCATTTTCTCTGAAAAGGCAGCATTTACAGTGCTCAACCTGCAGAGACAACTATAGACACCAGAACCACTACATTAACCCCTTAGGGACCAGACCGTTCTTCAATGTTCTTACCGTTAAGGACCAGGGCTGTTTTTACATTTCTGCAGTGTTTGTGTTTAGCTATAATTTTCCTATTAACCATTTACTGTACTCACACATATTATATACAGTTTCTCGCCATTAAATGGTCTTTCTATAGATACCATTATTTTCATATCATATAATGTACTATAAAAATTTTTTATAAAATATGATGAAAACTATTTAAAAAAAACACACTTTTTCTAACTTTGACCCTCAAAAGCTGTTACACATCTACAACAACCAAAAAACACCCATGCTAAATAGTTTCTAAATTTTGTCCTGAGTTTAGAAATACCCAATGTTAACATGTAAGTATACAACACAGGGTATTCAATATGGGTATGTACAGTCTTTTTTAGTAGCCACTTAGTCACAAACACTGGCCAAAGTTAGCATTTATATTTGTTTGTGTGTTAAAAATGCAAAAAACAAAATTGAACGCTAACTTTGGCCAGTGTTTGTGACTAAGTGACTACTAACAAAGACTGAACATACCCCATTTGCAATACCTTGGGTTGTCTTCTTTTGCAAATGGTATTCCATCATGGGGTTAATCTTATTCCTGGGCTACCATATGATCTCTATGACAACAATCAATCTGGCAAATTTCAATGTGAAAAATCAGAAAATCAAGCCTTATATTTGATCCTGTAACTTTTAAAAACACTATAATGCATGGGGGGTACTGTTATACTCGGGAGACTGTGCTGAACACAAATATTAGTGTTTCAAAACAGTAAAACGTATCACAACAATGATATCATCAGTGAAAGTGCCGTTTGTGAGTAAAAAAAATCCAAAAAAACATCACTTTCACTGACAATATCATCGCTGTAATATGTTTTACTGTTTTGAAACACTAATATTTGTGTTCAGCAAAGTCTCCTGAGTAAAACAGTACAGTACAGGTTTTAGGGTGTCATGGAAAGTTACAGGGTTAAATACAGTGCTAGCAAATTAAAATCTCTGGACTTTCAACCTGGGTTGTCAGGCAGGTCCCTCAAATTGCAATCAATAAAATTACTTAATTATGTATAAATATAACATAAATATGCACATCTATATTTATACATATTTGTATATTTGAAGTCTATGTGTATATTTATGAAATTATTTCTGTAATGATGTATATGGATATATATATATATATATATATATATATATATATATATATATATATATATATTGTGATCCTTGTCTACAGTTAGCACGGTCCTTTTGGGTACAAACATGCACAGTCTTTAAAAGTAACTTAAGTCCAGGCACTTTATTGTTGAGCTTCTCCGCAAAGAGAGCAGCACATGAAAAACAAAAATGTAACAAAACCCTATAAACAAAAACCTAGCTCAGTCTGAGCACTAACATCAAGTTCCCTCTCTCTCAAGGGTTTAATCTATAACAAAACAATAAATGGTTTCACCAACCTAGTGTCTTTGTCAGCTCTCAGCACTCCAGTGTTTTAGACAGCCTGCTGCTTCCAGCCCTTCAAGAGAGAAACAAACATTCTCATCTACCTGCCTAGCAGGGAGGGGTTTATTCCCACTGCTGCAGCTGATTATCTGCAGCTGAGCAGTGGGTTGGAGACAGTCCAAAGCCGGGTCTGGATCTAGTCTCCCAAGAGAAAACAATAAACAGTGGAGTGGAGCACTGGCCCACCCTTCTCTCCAAATGCTCCACCCCAGGGGCCCATAACTAAATATGCATTTAAGTTACATGCATACACACATTCCCCCTGGGGTTAAAGATCATATGCCTCTCTGAACAATGCAGATGAAATATAAAATTTTGCATACCGTATGGTTTTTAACCTATATATATATATATATATATATATATATATATATATATATATATATATATATATATATCATAATAAAATTACATTTATTTATTTTTATATACTTATTATTTATATTTTATAATAATATATATATAATATATATATAGTTATTGTATATATATTATATATATATATATGTGTAATTTCATTTTAAGTGTATTTTTATATTAATATATATATATATATATATACATTAATATACAAATACACTTAGTATGACATTATATATATAGATATAATATATTATTATATTATAGTAAAAGAAAATAAAGAACAATCTTTGGAAAGCCCTGAGTGCCGGTATTTTTTTCTATTATATATATATATTTTTATTTTTTTTATTTATTAACTTATTTTGTTTATTTTAATAGAAGCAGGGAGTTTGCCTGTCAGTTTAGCCAGTCTTCCTGCAGGCAGCACTAGGGAGGCCTATTGTGGCCATGTGACCGCTCTTTCCTAATTTGCCAAGGGGGGGCTGTCTGCGCTGTCAGGCGGTCCCCTCAGACCGGGAGCAACACCGATCGCTGGTGGGTAAACAGACGTTATCTGGTTAGTAATAAGGACAGCTCATATTTGCCACAGACGTGTCCTTAAGGACCATTTTTTGCCGGAAGTACCTAGTACTTCCGCGGTTCTAAAGGGGTTAAAATGTAGTGGTTCGAGTGACTATAGGGTCCATTTAATAAGACATCTTTTTCTCACTTGTGAATCAACTCTTCGGAATAGACTCCTGAAGAACTGAATTACAGTTAGCCCCAATCCCTTTGTATCTTCCTCCCCTTCCCCAGCCCTTCTGTGTGTCTCTTTCTTCTGCCACACCACCTCTGTGTGTCTGTTTTCCCATATCCCCTCCATGTGTCTCTTGTTCACCTCTCAGCCCCTCCATGCATTTCATTACCTCCCATCAGCCTCCATATGTCTTATTCTCTCCCACCTATCATTACCCCACTCAGCCCCTCAATGTGTTTCATACCCCCAGCACCTCTATGTGTCTAATTTCCCCCCTCAGGCATTCCATGTGTCTCATTACCCCACTCCCCCATGCTCTCTGTGAGCACTTCCTCTCAGACCGAGAATGGGCACAGATGTTCCTGTACTCCAGTCCACGTCTCAGCCGTGTCTCAGCCCCTCCTGCTGGTCATCCAGTAATTGCACTGAGTGGAGTGCCCTCCTGGTCGGTATGCATCCTAGGTTGCCATAATTATACCAGTGGCCCTTGATGCCAGTGACTAAACCATCCTGCCAGAGGACCAGGAACCAGTCACTACCACACTAATGAAAAATATGTTGACCAAGCTCTGCACAAACATTTCAGCAAATATAGCCCATTTTAAGAACACCACAGAGAGAGTCACATTGAGGATCACACTGCTGGAAGCCTCTACTAGTACTCATGTCCAAGTTATCCTTAGTGGAGCAGAACTTGAAGAACTCCAGCAGCTACAACTCTGTACCACTGCATAGGTGGATGCTCTGGAGGATCAGAGGAGATGCTATAATTTAAATCTTAGAGCCATACCAGCGATTCTGGGTCCTCCTAACTTACCATACTTCATAAGGTGACTTTTAGCGACATTACTGTTGTTTTAACAAGTCAAACTTGTTAAACTGGATGGTATGTTTCACTTACCAAAACTGGTGAATGTACCAGCATCCACAATCCCAGACCTCATTATATGATTCCAATAGCTTTAGGATAAAGAGCAACTTCTTACTGTGGTGAGAGTAAAAGCCTGCTCCACTTTGAGGGCTCTACACTGTTGATGTTTCCGGATTTAACAAGGAACTTTCTTTTTTGGCATAGGTCCCTGAGACCCCTTTTGCAGCACTTCTGCATCAGGACATTTCACATTTCCCACATGGATGTAGAATAACAAGAGTGATCTTATTTACTCACCAAGGAAATACCCACAGAGTATGCAGCTATCAAGAGCTGGAGACACACTTAAGCAAGTTGGACCAGCTTGAGTTACCAGGGTCATTTGGATAGGACTGTTCCACTTGGATCCTACTAAAATACTAGAGTTCACACCCTTTATCCCAGATCTCCTCATCCACCGAAGCAGTGACTTGACTGGCCTATTATTATCACTCATAAAGACTGCAGCCTGGATCGACAAATCCAATGAACTCCCATGGATCCACCAAATATTACCACAAATTAGTGCTTTAATATTTTTTTCTAAATGTTATTTTCTATTTATTTATTTTTTATTTCTAACCATATAAATGGCTTAACATGTTACTCTGAAAGCTCTCCAGCATTTACAGAGCTGTATTCACTACCTGGTCCAACAGTTTATTATTTGTGGCATACTTTCTTTCTTTATAGTATACTGAAATAGTTAATGTAATTGCCCTTCCCTTCCCCCCCCCCACTGTTTTTGTGCCTATATATATTTTGGTTGCTTGTGTTATGTATTGATAGGACGTGAAGTCTTCTTAGCGGTATTTTTATATTTTTGCTATACAAGTGTCAATTAATATATCAATTTCATAACCACAAGGAGAATAGTTGATAGCCGCCTATTTAACGCTACCCTAGCATTTCTAAGTCTACAAAAATACCAAGTCTACGTGTTTTCTTATGTTTCATGTCACAATGTTACTTTTTTTTAATACTTGTGGCTGTTAACATTATGGCTTACTTTGTATTACAAAATGTGCAATGAGATAAATAAAGAATTTAAAACTAAATCAATAAAAATACAATAGTATTATGAATGCATGAATATGCAGATATTTTTTTTATTAGGAAAATAACATGCATAATTTAGTATTTTGGTTTTTCTAATTTGCACTGCCTGTTTAAAAGAAATTGTTTTTCTATGTATACAGCAGTCTCAAATCAGATATTTCTGGGAAAAGATTTAATTTATATGCAACAATAGTGTTACAATACTTTCTGTGAGCTATATAAGTAACAGGTATTTATTTAAACGATGTTATCATCTTCCTTCAGATAATTATTTTTCTTCTAATTTAAAAATGATCATGTCAAATAGTTTTAGAATAGAAGGGCACACAAGAAGAGAGCACAAAGAGACACACAGGGGGACTGGAGAAAAAAGTCACATGTCTGGGAGGCAGAGAGAGACACACAGAGGGATTGGGGGCACAAAGGCAGAATGGCTGAGGTGGGACAAAAAAACACTCAAAGGGGCTGAGGAAGGGGAAAAAGAGACATACAAAAAGAATGGGGGTAGAAACAGACACCTGCTGGGGGATGAAAAAGGCCTGCCAGCCACAGCAGCAAGCCAGCCAGCCAGTGATCCTGCCAACCAACCACAGCAGCTTTCCAGATGACCATAGCAGCCAGCTCACCAGTCACAGCAGCAGCCAACCAATTAGACTCCATTGTAGTATCTAATGGGGCCTTAAGGTGACTCTTTCGAACATACAGTTTACATATTTGTGCAATGTATATACTTGAAACATTGTTGTGGGCTTTTTTACATTTTAAAGTTGTGTGTGTGTGGGGGGGGGGGGCAGTAGGGGGAGAAGGCGGTGCCAAACATAGGATTCGCACTAGTTTTCAAATGTTAGGTATGCCCCTGTGAATCTGTATGTATAACAGTTTGTGTGTACTTGTTTTTGAGTGTGCAGATTTTTGTTTAACATTGTATTCACTATTCGCAGAATTCAGGTGGAAGAGGTTTTCAATCACAATATTTTCCCCACCATAACCTTTTTGGTTTTTGCTTCCCAAGCACTACCAAGCCTCAATAGCAAACCAGTAACCAACCTTATGCTGAAGATTTGCATTAACAATGAAACAGCTGTCCATGAGTGTTAAACTAATTTGCATATGCCCACCCAGAATCCTTTGCAGTAGTAACATCACTGCAGATTTGTGATTTCTGTGGGAAAAGCAAGTCTTGACTGGTGTGCAGATTTTTGTTTTAAATTGTATTTTATATATATATATATATATATATACATGTAATAAAATCTGTAACAGTGTGTCTACTATGCATGTGTAATAGTTTATGTTGTTATTGTTTTGCTTTGCTTAAAAGACTGAAATATTTGAGATGGGGGTTTTGGTCAAGCTTAATGTCAACTATAGGAGGGGTTATCAAATGTATTTTTTGGACTGAAGTCCTTGGTCCACATAGCAATGCTCCTGGGGATAGGATAGAAACAAAAGTGGTAAAGAATGGTGAATGGTGAATGTCCAGTGTTGTACACTCTTACATACATACATACATACAAACACACACACACACATCTTACAAATACAATTTCTCATTTACTAAGACATTCCATACAAATATTCAATAACTACATCTGCACACATTAATAGTATACACACTTATTCAATTTAATTCACACATATCTGTAAATACATTCCTGCATTACAAATACATTGACACCCAGCTTCCACACACACTCCATACAAAATCACTAGACATGTGCAATTTGTTTCGTTCCGAATGTACATGTGGACGAATTTCGTGCAATTCGGACATTCGGATGCTTACAAATTTCCGAAGTTCGAATTGCCGAATTTCTGAATTGCCAAAGTGCTGAATTTCCGAAGTGCTGAACCGAACTGAATTGCTGAAGTTCCGAATTGCTAAAGTTCCGAATAGCCGAAGTTCCGAAGTGCTTTGGATTTCTGAAAAATGGCAAAACAAGTGGTTAGGGTTAGGGGTTAGGGTTAGTTAGGGCTTAGGGGTTAAGGTTAGGGTTAGGGTTAAGGTTTAGAGTTAGGGCTTATGGTTAGGGGTTAGGGGTTAGGGTCTGAATTACCAAAGTTCCGAATTGCCGAAGTTCCGAATTGCCAAAGTGCTGAACCAAACCGAATGCCATTGGTCCGAATTGCTGAAGCAGACTAATTTTTGTACCCGAATTTCCAAACAAAATTCTTTGCCCATGCACATCCCTTAAAATCACTACTAGCTGACTGAACAAGCTATCTGAGAACAAGATGGCACTGGTAAACTGTTTGGAAAAATAAATGGCACTGATTAGCAATTTTGAGACAGCGAAGGCACATAAATGGCACTATTAAGCTATTTGGACACAACAGGTGGCACTGATAAGATGGGGACAAAGATATTGTTGGACAATGGTAGCATTAATAAGCTATTTTAGGACACGTATGGCACTGATAAGCTATTTTGAGACAAAGATGCAACTGATTAGTTATATTGGGACAGAGATGGCACAGATTAGCTATATTGGGACAGAGATATGACACTAATTTGCTATTTTGAGACAAAGATAGCACTGGGTAGCTGTATGGCAACAGAGATGGCACTGGGAAGCTGGGCACAAATATGACACTGATGAGCTTTTTAGGGGCAAAGCTGGCACTGTAGAAGGTTGGTGACATGTGACCTGGTGAAGTTGGGGTGCCCAAAGAGGTTTTCATAGACAATGGGTGTGGTTAGATGTGTTATGTTTGTGAAGGGAAGGAGTTAGTAAAATAGCCACACTCACCTGGAGGATTAAAAAATATTCTTGCACTAGTCGTCACTGACCCCAGGATCAGCCCTGCCTGGAGTAGCACTTGTCAGGGGGTCAAGGGGGGCCAAGGAACAAGAGCAGCTGAAGTTACTTTGAGAGAGTATGGATTCTCTCTCAGGACCAACTCTCACTTAGTCCTCATTTAGCCCCTTTGCTCACTCAATCGGCCCCTTTGCCAGGTTGTGTAAAATGCAGAGCAGCCATGGGGAGAATGAGAATAGTCTGAATGACCTAGCGGCCCAATCCTCCTGCCAAGCATAAGCTACTGCGATAGTATAGCTGGTTTTCCCACAAGAACAAAGCCTACCTTAAAATGCTTCCTGTTTGCTTGTACCACAGTGCTGGGTGAATGTATTTTAAACAGGGTTGAACTTGCAAGGATGATGAGTATATCACTCTTTTACCTCTTGACCAGGCTGCTGCTCACCAAGTGCTGCAGACCACCCTTATCCCATTTGAAGTTATTTTCAAAATATGCAAAGACCTGTAGTAATGCTGCTATTATGAATATTTAAAACTATTTAATTTTTTTGCATCTTTTAAAATAATACACATCAAATGTCGTAAGTAATTTATACACTTTGATTCAATTTTAAAGTTTTGGAAATACATTTCTGACTTCTGATCCATTCAGTTTCTTCCATCTGTTGAATATTCTTGTTATTGGTATTATATGCTTTCAATAATACGTTATTTTCACACTTTTATTCATGCTGTCTTGATTTTTTTCTTTAATATATTATGGTAAGTTTTCACTGTGACTATCACATTAAGTATTTATAGATGTTATTTGGATACATATGTGTACAAAAGATATAGCTTCAATATATACAGAAATATTAAGTTAAGTATATATCAAATTGTGCAATATTATAAATATGTGACATGAGTTAACATTAGTTAGTTCGACAATGTCTGTGGGGTGTCCCAGCTGTGACATTAATTATTCTAAATCTTTTTTGTTATTGTATATATTGACTTTCAGCTGCTTGTCCCAAGTTATTTCTCGTATATTTTATTCAACACAGGATGTAATTCACTTGTGCCTAGTTTCATTAATTATTTACATTGAGTTTATTCATTTATTATAATTTTATATTCTCACCAATGGGATTTACTTAACGTTTATTTAACTGAACTTCCTCTTGAAGGTTATGAGGCTACTAACGTATTTTCCGATGGGACCCCAGGGCACAAACATAAGTTAAATTATATTTTATATCAATTAACATGTAAACGATCATTTCAAAAAAATATTTTCAGCATATTCTTTACATATTGCTCTGGGTTTATATTCATATTTGTAAGTTTAAAGGGTTACTCTAACCCTTTTTAACTAAATATATCTATTCATCTAAAATACCCTATTGGGCATTACGGTTAGGTTTCAGCACTCAAAAATCTGCAAAATAAAGCATTAATTTACCTGTAATCAAGTGCCTAGCCAACCCCCCCTTACCTAAAATACTATACATACCATCCCCTCTCTACCCAATTTTTAAGAACTGTTTGCTATTTAAATATGTCCCCAGATCTCTGGCAATCAACTTCAAACACCACCTGCAACCTTATGTCTCAACTCCCCATAATTATCTTCATATTGTAAGTTCGCATGTCATATTTGTATAAAAGTACTGTAATTGCTAGATTGTAAGCTCACAGAGTCCTCTGTTCCTTTTGTATCACT